GATATTTAGGTTTGTACAGCACTGTGAACATTGGTAGAGGTGAATAAGTAATAACTTGTAACAAAATGTTAACTCATATGAACAAACTGATGGAAAATATCAAAGGGGTGTTGTTACCACTCGTTATATTACCATCACTAATATATTAGTCTATTTAAGATGGTATTGTGACTAACATACAGGCATGCAATTTAGAATGTAAATAGTTATAGAGTTCAATGTCCTAACTGTATATTCTATTTTAAAAGCAAGAAATATGTAGTAACAAAATATAAGGTCTACCAGGTTTAGGATTTTTGACTACTTGAGTTCATCTTGTGACGTGTTCATCAGCAGCCCCTTCAATAAAATGATATCCTTTTCTAATTTTCTTTGTATATGTATGGTTTGTTTTAATAAAACTATAATAGCGTTGGAAAGAAAACTCAGGCTGTACTCAGTCATACCAAGAGAACCTGACATGGTAGCATGAGCAAAGTTCACATGATTTGTAATACTATCAAAGTATGAAGGAGTTTTACAGGCTTATTTGTCATTGCTGTTAATCATCATAATCATCATCAATGTAACTATTTACTGCAGACAGCTAATTTTAGTTCAACTGCTTAGGGCAATCAGATTGGTCAAATTACCATAAAAGGTCTTCCACGATGAAATATTTCTCTTGCTAGCTGGCAATGGGAGTTCTTTAACATTAATTCTATTAAAATGAAAAGACAAATTCTAAATGATATTGTAATGAATATGACAAAGATACACAAAAGGAAATTACAGTAACAGTTAGACTATTATGCTGTTCACTTCTTATTGCAACCAAACCTTAAAGTATTTTGGAAACCCCCCATCTGATTAGCGGATAGAAACTAAATGCACATATTATGGGTTTTCTGAGTGCAAATTTTATAATGATGATGACAGAACTATTATAAAATTGCATTAATTCTCTATATGTGATGTTGGTGAGTGTATATGGAGCTTCATGAAGGGCTGTCTGATCAGGGTACGAGACCATAGTTTATTTACTCATACTGTTGATTTGAATGAAATACAGGGGCAAGCCGTGGTCTGAGGGTAAAGCCATACTGTGGTAGCACTGGAAAATTAATTTCAATATTATGTTGAGGCCTGGATTACAAAATAGTAATGTTTTCTATTATAGAATTAAAAATATTGGCTACAATGAAATTATCAAAATGTTACTTTTTCTTTTTATCTGTGATTTATTGCCTTATTATATTTTTTGAGACCTAGTTGTTTACTAGTTTATTGAGATCTTTACTTGTAATCTTGCTTACTAATAATCATACAACTATGTTGCCACTTAACTTGTAACTTGATAGCTTTTAATGATGATTTAACATTACCTTGTCAACTGACACAGCTTTAAGTAAGCAGTGTAAATTTCAATTTACAGTTGCATGAAATTAAGTGATATTATTCTTTGTTTACTTACAAGACACTCTTGTCATTATTATTTGGTCTGATCTGGCAGTGATTGAGCTTACTCCAAGACATTTTGTGCCCAAGATAAATATCAAGGCCCCAGTCTCTTGAAGTGCTAACCCCCCTAAACTCCCACTGACTTTGTAATTTGCTAGCACCATGTTAATAAGATGTCTTTAAAAACAATGCCTCCACCCATTAAGTCATCAGATTTTGTTTTCTTTATCTCTTTGCTCATTTTTAAAACAACGTTGACATACTAAAACTGCTGAACTTTAGAAAACATGTTACTCTTGTCACTCCTCTGCACTGTAAATATTTTTAGGGTATCAGAGGTTTCAGTCTTTGAGACAGAAAGAACTCTGTCCTTCCCTCTCTTATGTGGATTATTTCATTTCCTGCAAACTGATCTGGTGAACTGTATTTCAGATAGACTGAAGATTAGGGATATTGTATATCAGTACTAAAAGAGTAGAAGATAGAAGAAGTCACAGAATCTAATGTAAAAAAGCATTTGCAGGAGAGATGCTTTAGACCATGAACTTCTAGTAACAGAGCCCATACCTGTCTATGTTTGCAGAACACTCACCACAAAAGGGCCTTCAAATCCACATTGGAGGTGCTGGATTCCGTTATGGTACAAATAATAAAGATTCAGTTAGGTTTGTACTATTTAAAAAATGAGATATTAACAGCTGAGGCTGGATTGTATTGTTACATTGTCCTGTTTAGGTAGTGCAAAGATCTTAGCATGTGGTGTTAGCCACCAAGAATACTGTAATTATATTGTCTGGGCACTAGAGGGTGAGTGCAGGATGAACTAACAGCCTTACCTCAGTTTCCAAGTCAAAAGGCCATACTATAAAATAAGTTTGGGGGGTTCCTTCCATCATTTACATGGAAATAATCTTTAATTGCATGTGTACGTGATAGCAGCTATTGAGCTGGGGATGCCTGGAAGTGTACCACCCATATTAAGTTAGGTATATTAGAATGCAGAATTTCACTTTTTAGAAATTAGCCATTTAAAGTATTCTCATAAATTGACAGTTTTGGAGATAAAGTGAGCAAGTTAAAAGCCTGAAAAATAAGATTTTTAGGGAAACTGCAAATTATTTAACTACAAGGCAAATGTGCTACTTTACAAACAGTGCTACTGTTATAGAGGAATGAACTCTAGCTCAGCATCCACAGTTCTCCAGGCTATCATGATATTGCCCTCTATAGAGTATAGCTAGAGGAACAGGTTTATTTATATATGCCTGCTCATTTCAGATCAACAGCATTCTAAATGAAAGAACATAGCGTTTGATTTAAGAATACCTTTTACAAATATTTTTAGTCTGTCAGTCAAGTGTTGTCATATCAAAGCTTTTCTTATATTTTCTTCTGTGTAAGACACAACGTAGAATTTTGCAACATTGTTTTTATACTATAATACAGCCTGCTCATAAATATGGTACGCCAAGTATACATAGCACTGTCAGTGATCTTATGTCTACCTCTATTCCCTTGAGCTATGGAACACTGAATACGTTTGGAACTTCTTACTATGGTGAAGCATAAACTATTTTAATATGCCGAAAAGAAGGCACCTTCATAGTTCTTTTTTCTACTTAGTCTTGACTTTTGCAAAAAAAGTCCTAAAACCCACGATAGGTGAATTTGAAAAATGTAGACAAATAAAAATATATAAAATAAAAATGCAAGAACGCTGTGCACTATGACAACACCCACTAATGACTATGTAATCTATTGGAAAATTACTGAATTTTGCAAATTAGTATGCAAATGAACAAACAACAAAAACAAAAGTGATGCATTAATAAGATGGAGTTTGCTCCAACGATTTAATTTTATGATATAATGTAGTATACTTTGTAAAGATAATGAAAACTGAGCAAAATAAAACACCCTAAATTTAAAACTTGGAAGTAAATATTATAAAGTGTGCAGACTGGAAATGTGTAGACTAGCAAAATTTTACTTTGTAGAGAAACTACAATTCCTTTATTAAATACAAAAATTATTATAACCCTAATGTTCTTTTTGTAGTGCATAAATGAATAAACAAGTATTCAGTTTCAAGATAACCAGTTAAAATGTCTCTAATGCTGCAATTATTCATCTGACCATAAAGGGTTTGCATTTCAAATGAAGCTGAATGGTTTGTGGTTTATACCATTAGATCTGAACACTAAGTAGTACAACTTAAATTGGTAGAATCAAGAATTTTTTAGAAAAGACAATATTTAAGAACATGAACATTACGTTTTTGCTAAAATTAAAAGCCCTATTGTTAAATTCTGCTGTCATGTCTATAAGGGCAGCTTTTTGCTTCTGTTTTCTTCATACTACATGTTAATTTGTGCTTGATTTTCTAATAAACAATTTGTATCCCCTACAATTCTGTATAATAAAACACAATGTCACATCGTAATAGTGGAAAGCATCAGAAACAAAAATCTGTTATTCAAGTATGCCTACTAAATACAAACCTATAAAGAGGCACATTGGACAATATAAAAAATGTTTGGGATAAAAATAGCTTAGAATGCATGTAATTTTTAAAAAATCTAATGGAACTATTTTCATGTACATATTTTACAGCTCTGGTTTAACTAAACAGTCAAGTTTCCAAGAAAACTAAAAGGACTGCACACTAAAATATTCTGCGAAAGACAATTGTTTATATTTGATAAACATAGCTTGAATGTTGTTCTGGCAGTAAGAAACTGGCTAATTTTTATAATAGCAAATATAGAAGAAAGGGTTTTCCAACTTAACCTCTCCTTTGCCAAAAGAAAGAAATCTGCAAGCTTCTTTCTTCTCCTGCCACATAGCAGATCTCTTCTTGGATTTCACACCATCAACCATATCCTATCAAGAATCTTGAAGAGTATACATGAGTTCTTTTGAAGGATTAATCTGGAATGGCCTAGACATATAAAACAAGCTGCATAATGCATTCCTACACTGAATTCTAGCTTGTGTTGTGAATGTAGTTAAAAAAAACAAACAAAAACTACACAATCCCATACCTGGTAATATATAAAAATAATTAATACAGTATATATGTAAAAGGACAGAATAATTTTGTACAAAACCTCAATTTATTTAAGAGAAATTAAAAATATGGTATTTAATATATATAAATTTCTATTCCTCTATAAATATAGATGATCTTGTGATAATGAAAGAAAGAAATGAATATCAAATTCACATACCTTGCATTTCAGGGTATGGAAGCCAGAGATAACATTTGTGAACCTAAATACAGACGCTTGTTATATAAAACTTTTAAAAAATACAATCAGGAGAGAGAAGCATTCTGCTGTTTTTCATACAGAGTACTAAATATTAAAATGCATCTGTGAAGCGTAACATTTGCTGTGCCTTGTTTAAACCTCTTAAACACCCAGGAAAATACATCTGTTTAAAGATAGTAGACATACTGCACACATGTTTCACAGTAAGCAATATAATTATGGTACTATAAAGGACATCAGAGTTTCCTTAATGTCTCATATTCCATTAGGTTAAGTATTTTTTGCCTCTTTTTTTTTTTTTTTTTTTTTGGTCCTTGTTATTTTTCATTCCTCCCTCACAATGTGTAGATAATGAAGCATTACAATACAGGGGCATTTTTACATTTTAAATATTTCCAAACTAAAAAGTCAATTTATAGATTTAATTAAAAAGCATGTAATTATAATTAATCTCTTTATACTGATCTTATATTTCCCAAACCTGATTATACTGAGCAATGTGTTAATCTAAGTAAATATCAGTACCTCAACAAAACCTTCCAGGTAGTTCTCCCTCAACAGTTCCATTGACAGAAGAACCAATGTCATGCCACACACTAATGTCATGCCACACATGCCACCCATCAAAGAAGCATATAGCCAAGGAACTGAACACACACCAATTAAGATTTATAACTAGTCTCAGTCTTCCTTCCCTCCACACACTGTGAAACTGTTGGGATAGAAACAGCTAATAATCCCATTTGTGAGAAAAGGTTAGCCAGATCAATCATCTCTTGGGCTGGCCATTAAAAAAATAATTCAGTTAATTAAAAAGGAAGGTTGTGATCTATACCCTTATCTCTCTTAAGCCATCAGACATATTACAGGTGCAGCTGGTATTAGACTTCCGCTCCTGACCACTAACAGAACACATTTCTTTTTAAAACACATGGTATAGTTAATTATTTTAAAAAGCAGAAAGCTGCCAGTCCCTAAACTTAACACTAAGAAATGTTTAGTGTGCTGCTCTGCCTGAGCTCAGGCACCTTTGGGCTGATTTGAGGAGATTGTTCCTTCCATGGTTAGGTGACTGGAATAATATCTCCTTGGGTATAGATGACAAGGACTATACTCCTCTGGTTTTGGGCAACAGGGCTCAGACCATCTTCCTCCACCACCAGAAGTGAGGTTGAACTACTTGCTCCTCCATCCCCTCAGGATACAGTCAGTAAGATCCCCCCCTTTTATGCACCAGGTACATGGTGCATGGGCAGGGATCAAGTCATGTGTCTATGTCCCTCCCCATTCCCACCCATCTTTTAGGCTGGCTGGAATCAGGGTCCAGCCTGTGTCAGGAGGAACCTTAAAGAGTTACAGCAGTCTCAATGGAGACCATTCTGTTAATGCAACTGAATTCCAAGCAAAATCCTTACAAAACCTGTGCTGGGATGAGAGGAGGGGTTTGTTTTGGTTGCTTTTATTTTTCAATCATGTACTAAAATAAAAAATAAAATCCAATGTCAGTTAAAAAGAGTGGGGAAAATCTGCAAATGAGTTAAAATGTCCTAAAAATAAAAAAAGCGAGAGTTCTTTGTAATTTACAAATACAAATATACTTACAAAATCTTACAGAGGCTATTTACAACCCTTTCCCCAACTACACACAATGTTCAGTCCTGACAGGAAGCAAAGACTGTTCAATCTCAGGAGTTTCTCTACCTGCGTCATTTTTCTCACTTCTCCGCAGGCTAGAGTAATGGTTAGCAGTCTGGAAAGTTTGCCAGGAGTGGATGTCTGACAGCCTCTCTCCCCACCTCCTTGACCCCCTCCCCCACTCCTCCACATTCTCTGGCTGGGATGGTGGGTGTCCCTCAGTCTGGTGGGATTTTACACTGTGGTTTCCCCTTGCTTGCTGTTGGTAAGCCTGGTATAGAACTTCCTCCAGGAATTGAGTGTTTTCCCCGACCAGATCCAGAAGCCAGAGGTGATGCCCACAATTAAGGTCATGAGATATTTGATCATGAAGACAGTGAAGTCAGGGCTCATGGGTGGATGGTGGTGGCTGCTGTGGTTATTAGGGCAAGGGATGGCATAGCTCTTACAGCTCTGGGCAACCCAGCTCCTTTCCCACTGTTCCCTAAAAGCTTGCTCATAAAAATAGCAGGCGATGACTATAGTGGCAGGCACGGTGTAGAGGACACTGAAGACTCCTATCCTCACCATCAGCTTCTCCAGCTTCTCGGTCTTGGTGCCATCGTGCTTCATGATGGTCCTGATCCTGAAGAGGGAGACAAAACCAGCCAGCAGGAAGGAGGTGCCGATGAACAGGTACACAAACAACGGGGCCAGCACGAAGCCACGCAGGGCGTCCACATTGTTGATGCCCACGAAGCAGACGCCGCTGAGCACGTCACCGTCCACCTGCCCCAGGGCCAGGATGGTGATGGTCTTGATGGCAGGCACAGCCCAGGCGGCCAAGTGGAAGTACTGCGAGTTGGCCTCGATGGCCTCGTGGCCCCACTTCATGCCGGCCGCCAGGAACCAGGTGAGCGAGAGGATGACCCACCAGATGGAGCTGGCCATGCCAAAGAAGTAGAGCATCATGAAGAGGATGGTGCAGCCCTCCCGCTTGGTGCCCTGCGCCACCGTGCGGGCACCGTCCTCGGCGAAGCGCTCGTTGCAGACCACCCGCTCCTCCAGCAGGAAGCCAGCGATGTAGGCCACGGCCACCGCCGTGTAGCAGCCCGACAGGAAGATGATGGGCCGCTCTGGGTAGCTGAAGCGCTTCATGTCCACCAGGTAGGTGAGCACGGTGAAGAGGGTGGAGGCGCAGCACAGCACCGACCAGATGCCGATCCAGGTGCGGGAGAAGCGCAGCTCCTCGGGCCCGAAGTACATGAGGCCGTAGAGGCGGCTGGGCTCGCAGGGGGCGCCGCAGTCCTTCTCGCCGAGGAAGCGGTAGTTCAGGTAGGAGGG